ATCCAGAGGCATTAATTTTAAAAGGGAACTTAGTGAATCAAAATGAGTTGACTCTTGGACTTTAGAGTTGGTGTCGTTCTCCGTGTTGGTGGATCTAGTCTCTGTCCTAAAGGTTAAACATTACCATGGATATTTTAATACTTAATCTTTAATCTGGCTGTAGTATCTGTTGTAATATATTTTCATATGATCAACTGAGGTGATCAATGCCAGGAGAAAGAGGACTCAGATCTCTCCATCTAAAGTTATAAGCTTCTCCTGCTAATGTTAATAATTGTCTGCGTTATCTGGGCTGTGTATTTCTTAACTGACTAAGAAGTCTGCCATTATGGATGGGCAGGAACCCATAGTGGATTAGTTGTGGGTGTTTTTACTGTCCATTACTCGGCCTAGGCAAAACACATAATGTTCATGTTTCGTAATGGTTTTTTGCAACTTTGTATTTTCCTGAGTTGTAGAGGGTAGAAGGAGGCTTGAAAGCACAGTTTGTCTTGCCATTTAACATAGTGTAATTGAGGTTTAGGGTCACTTTCTCTATTAAAGAAACAAATATGTGAGCAAGTGTTTTCACTGGTGTGGCAATTCCCCTGGATTTTGACCCTGTTCTACTCCAGTTGAAACCAATGGCAAAACTTCCATTGACTTTAGGATCTTGCTTTGCTGTAGTGTGATAGCTTCAGCAAAGCAAAATGATGTCTCACTTTTCACTTATAAAATAATAGTGTTTAGTATCACCAGAACAAAAGCTCTTAAGAAGTCAAGCTAAAATTACAGAACTTGTAAGATCTCATTTGCAAACTGGAATGAGCTGTATCATTAGAAAAAAACTTTTCATTTTCAAGAAGCATTTAGTAAGTGCTATGCCATCCAAATTCTTAATTAAAACTAGAACAATCCCCATTCCGACTTGCCCTTCCCTGTGTCTTACTGTAGCTTTTTTTTTTCTGCAAGCAAAGTTTGATATCAAAAGTGATTCACGTCTGTTTCAGTGAAATCCGGACAAATAAAACCCCAGGAGATAGCTTGTATTTGAATGTGCATAAATCTCATTCTGGACAGCGTGCTCTACACACCCCTCTTTACTCACCGAGCACAGAGGAGGAGGCTGGCATTGCTGTGCTGTGCGCCCAGGAGTGGCTCAGCGGCCAGCACAGCTGAGAATCCACGATAGCAAGTGCCTGATCCAAAGGCAGGAGCCTCCCTACCCGTGGGCAAGAGAAGCCTGTCAGACCTTTTTGTGCATGAGGGCAGAATCTGAGCCAGGGACTTTTAAAAGGTGTAGGTAGGTGCCTAGATGGGTGTGAGTGCCCAAGAAGTTAAGGCACTCAGTCTTTGGGAATGCCTCCTGAATATCGGGAGCTCCAAACCCATGCAGAAAGGTGAGGGGAGCAGCATGTTTCCCAGGGAGGGCAGAACAAATTATCAGCTTTCATGTGTTTGGTGACATTAGCCTATGAAATAAAGTAGGTTAATACAAAACTACATTTTCGACCTGAAAGTGAAACGTGAAGGAACAAAGCTGATATTGCACTTCTTTTTTGCTTTGTCCCTTGTGGAAAACGAGACATCTTTCAGTTCTAACTTGTTTAAGTCCAAGTAGTAGGGAAATATGGGTTTTGTGGGATAAAAATATACTTTGTTCTGACTTAAAATCTCCATACCTGAATTTACCCTCTTTGCTGAATGTGCAGATAACTGCCCTTCCCACTTTACCCTTTAAATTGCACTTTCACATGTTTGGGTAAAAATACTATCCTCAAGGTCATGGGATTCAAAGTGTGCCTGACTAGGAAGCAAATGCTCTAGTAAATATGATGGGTGTTTCCCAGGGTGCTCAGTCACAGCCCTTCTGGTGGAGGGCAAGAGAAGCCTGCTTCTGTTTTGATCAGCGCTTTATGTGTGATGTTAAAATTTGATGTTGTTCAAAACATTATTGATACCTGTGAAGAAAGGACAGCCTCTCATTAACCCTTTCGTTAACTGTCATGACTGATGAGAAGCTGGCACTGCTTTACTTCATTTTTAATGGAGTTGAGGTTCTCAGTCACCTTTTCTGGTTGGCTCTTGTTGCTTGTTATGGCACCGTGGGGTGGGAGAACAAGGTGCTCTGCTATGCTGGTAATTTTGAGAAAGTTTCTTTGCCTCAGTTTTCCCGTTATTGAAACTGGGCAGTTATGTTTGTTTATGTTCTAAGTGTGTCTGTTTGCAGTCTTTTATAAAGCTGGTTATTTTTTCTGGCTTTTAATTTAAGCAGTCAAATGTGACCAACAGTAACGATTAGTGATTCATTTAGTGATTTAACTGGAAACCTTTCTTAGATCTATTTTGCTCATAAAAATGATTGTCTCTAACAAATAAAATATTCTACAGTGCATTGTAACAGCATTTTTTTCACAAACACGTCATGATTTAGAGAACAATCTTTTATTAATGTTTTAATTTAATTTTAGCACATCATTCATGTTAATGCATATCACGTTATAATGCCTTTATAAGTACTCTGAGAATATCAAGTAAGACACTTAAAAATAACTTCAGGAAATAAATTATGGTCTGTTTAAGAAAAATATGCAGACATACCTAAGTACATATAATTGTGCTGTTATGCATATTCTTCTTTTAGTGGTGCTCAAGCACCTTATTTAACCCAGAAGTCAGAATTTATTTTTAATGTGGGAAGGGACATCAGGCCTTGTGGGATGAAAAGCACCTCTGAGGAAGATAATAAAAATAAGCAGTCAACCAAAAAAGAACAGGAAGGAAGAACCAGCCAGCAGACAAAACTATGTTTTAGAAGCCAGAACAATAGGACTAAAGTGATAATTACCAAAATTCAAGGCAAGTTAGATCTTTAGAGGTTGTTAAAGTAAACAGCAAAAGGTTCTTTGCTTGTATAAATAAAGAGAGAAGTGATCTTTTGTGAAATAAGAGTGGGATGGCCATCAGAGATAATCCAGCTACAGCTGTCAAACTGTCATCTTGGTTTTCAGTAAAGATAATTATGTTGATATTATTAGAAAATCTTTTTAAGTCCTGTATGTGATATTCGTCTGCAATTGAGTATCTAACTCTTGTCACCTGTGTTTAGGAAAGATGTGTTCAATTGAAGCAGGGTAAGAGAATAGCTCGGTCAGGGAAGAGGTACAAGATCTACCTTGTTTACAAGCAGTAAAACACAGGCTGGGAGGGGATATGATTATTGTCTTGAGTCCTTTGGAGTGGTAAATAGTACTGAAGGAGAAGCCCTACTTCATCTGAGTGATGCTTTTGTCACACAAACAAATTTCTACAAATTTGCTGTGACTTTTAGACTGGAATTGAGGAAGCAGGTTACTAGTTTTTAAAACAGTGAGCAGGAGGAGCAAGAAATAGAAAAAAACAACTGTTTTTTAAGATAGAGCCCAACAAATAGATGGAAGGATTATGTGGTGCAGTTCCTGGTGGAAAACACAGGCTTGGAACTGATAATGCAGGAAATGTCTCACAGTCCATGTTCATATGTGAAAAGTCATTGTTAATCTCACCTCTTCCCTCCCTCTTCTCATTCTGCACGTAAAAGGGAATGGGTTTAAACAGAAGCTGTCCCATCATGACCTCTTTTGAGCACAACTAGGTAGGAACTGGACAAAGCAAATATAGGATTTGTTTTCTTAGCGTGGAATCTGTCAGGTGAGGTCAGCCACCTCCTCCTGAGTTGAATGAAGGAAACCATATTATTATCAGTGGTGTGTTTTCATGGAAAATGTGTTTGCAAAGCTGGGAAGTGATCTGTATTGTTCAAAGTAATTTGAACCAACATCAGTGATACAAATTAGAACAGCTTAAGAAGTGGTCTGAAGCTGTTCTACCCAGTTTTCATAGAAATGCTCATATGACTTTATTTATTCATTAAGTGACTCCGTCATGGATTTAGCTCCTCTCATTTTACTTCTTTTATTTTATTCATTACAGCTACTTAATTAAGGCTGAAAGAACAACAGAATTATAAAGAGTATCTAAAAAAACCCCCAGTTCTTTATTGTACTCCTACCGGTATCAAAGCCAAACTTTGATGCTTTAGCAGCAATAGAACCAAGTATTAAATATCATCTAGCTTGAACATTGACATTAGACCAAGAATGTCTCAAATATGAATTCAGTCTAAACATTTTCTGGGATGTTTCTGTATTCCTTTAAAAGGAATGGTATCTTTCATGTAGATGTATGTTAAAATCTTAACACCTCACAGTCTTCAGTGCCAAGTTACCTTCAGTATGAGCATGACTTAAACTCCACATCTGGCTTTCCAGATAGCGCAGCTTGGGTGTGGGGTGGGCATGGCATGAACACCAACCTTGTCTGTACAGACAGTGTGGGTGAAGCCATCATGAGTCAAAGAGTAAATGAACTCATGTGCAGCAATACATGCATTGTCAGAGGAACTGAGGGATGGACCCTTGGGGATCTTCAGGTTATGAGAAGTATACTTTCCTTGTTGTGTTTTAAATGTGATCTTGAATGTAGCAGTGCTTCTGGAACAGAGTATCTAAGAAAGCTTAAGTTGGTTAAAAAAAAAAAAAAACTTACATGTGTGACAAAGCAGACGCCCAAAGTGCTTGTAGGAAGAGTAGTATTCTGATAAATTCCAGAAACAAAGCGTGAAGAGTTTGAGAAAAGGTCCAAGATGGCTAGGGAAAGCAGGCCTGTTTCCTTCCACAGCTGAATACTGCAGAAGGTCTTAATTGTTCCCTGTCAGGAGCTGAGCACCACCAACTTTGAATATTATTTTCTCAGCTCAGCTTCCTCATTTGCCCAGCAGCTGCTTCATTTCACTGCAGCAGTGGCTGAAATGCTTTCTGCAGGCAACGTGTGATTTGACAGTGAAGTTTTGCAGTATGTTTTGAGTAATGATGGGAGACAGAGGTAGCGCCAAATATCAGAAGATACAAACCATTACTTCAGATCACTGGGGTCCCATTGCATAAATAAATGAGCATTTTCTTTACTGTTTTGTTCACTAGGTGATGACGATTCTGGTAGGAAGGTGATTACCTTCAGTTGCTGCCGTATGCCCCCCTCCCATCAGCTCAATCACACCAGACTGCTGGAGTAAGTTTCTCTCAGTTTTCTGCTAGACTACTTTATATTTTGTATGTGAACTTCTATTAGCTTGTTTCCAGGTGAATGAGCTTTCAGGTAGGAGAAACGAGAGGCAAGGAGTGAAGTGAAAAAGGGATGTAAGACCTACTAGTGTTGATATTAAGTGAGTGAGATGTGGATGAAACTGCCAGAGTTACTTCACCTGGAATCTTGACTAGAAGACATAATTTACTGTGTACTGAAATTAACTTGTTGACTTGATTTTATTAACAAATTCTGATCGTATTTAAAAAATTGAATTTATGATGAGACCGATGAAAGAGAAATTCTGGTATTTTAGTGCTATGTACATATGTTCTCATTATTAGCAGTGTTTGCCTTTAATTTGCTATACTTTATCTCCTAAATCACTCAGCAAGAGCATTGTTTAGTTATTTACATCTTAGTGGTTTTCCTTTTTCATAAAAAGATCTGCATTATGTACAGTCTATTATGCTTAACATTTTTATATGTGTCTTTGTAATAGTTGGGTTTTTGTGCTAAAAGATGTTGTAAATATGTAAAATTACAACATTCTTCCTCATAAACTTGCTGCAGCAAGGTACCAGGACACGTTTCTGCCTTGTAGCTTGTCACTACAAGGAGATCAGTTCTGCTGTGCGAGTCCTGTCCTTATTAAGCATTTCAAACCTATTTGGAGTTCTGCTTCTCTTCCATTGCCAAAATGTTTGAGCACCTTTCAGCCATGAGTACCCAGAACCATTGGAAAGGACCAAAGTGCTGTTACCTCAACTTTTCAGAAACGGAGAGGGATTAAAAGACAGTTTACTTAAGAGATGTGTTTGAGACCATATTGCTTCATTTTTATGCTCTTCACAGCTAGGGTATTTCCACAGCCTTAAGCCAAAGCTTTCTCTGTAGCATAGAGGGAGTGTTAGCATCTAGGAGGAAGAGCCACACCGGTCAGCTCCTCACCTAGAGGAGCTACCTGCAGTGATTAATAGGAAATACATAAGAAAGGACCGTGACAAACCACGTTGTTACCAGCTCTAAGAACCCTTCCTCAGTTCTGCAAGGAGGCATCAGTTCTGCAAGGAGGCACTTTGATGGAACTAGGATTTACAGCCCTCAAACTATTCTGGACTTGGACACTTACATATTTTCCTATATCTGAGCCCACATCCAATTTACTTGGAAAGTCGGTGCTAAGAGAGAACTGAAGGTAGGTGTCTGAATGTGAAGCTGTCAATATTAACTATCAAGTTATCTGCTTTTGAGTAGTTAGACCCAAATGTTGAGTTTTGAGGAAAAACTGCAGAGTAGGCCCAGTTTGGTAGGGTTTTTGTGGTAAAATCACTTAAAGAATTGATTTGGTAAAGCTTTTGTAATGTTCCTGCAGTTCTGTTACAGCCTTGGAACAGGTAATCAACACTACAAAAATACTGGTTATTTTATGTCCACGAAACTGTCTCCATTATTTTTAAAGTACAGACTTCCTGGATACAATCTGCCAAGGAATTTACATGCTGTAAAATAAAACATGAGGCACTCTGTATGTAAGAATATCTGTTTAGATATATTTTAGTTCCAAACTCTTTTTAGAAAGTCTTGAACAACAGTTACTACTATTTATTCCATTAAAATACCATTAATACTTAAGTCAGGGATCAAAACTGCGTTATATTAATTGCAGGGGAGTCCTTGTCCCGGGATATCTGCAGTATAAGATTTACAGTATGCTGAGGGAATAATCAGATAAATGAGCCTATGGGAGTGCAGTGTAACACTGAAGCGACGTGCTTTTCCATGTGTAAGTGGATTGTCAGAGTGGCCTTGATACTTGGAGATATCCACAACCTAATGAATGGCACATGGAACTATCTACTCTATTCAATGAAAATTGCTTACATACAATTAAGAGAAGTAGCTGGGACTCTGTAGCAGAATAATAAGATAGCATTGAGAATGACATGAGAAAGTTGAAATCTGACACAGCAAGAGATGAGGCCAGATTGTACTTCTCCATCATTGTGTTATTTGAATCATTGAGCTGTGTAATAGGCCATACAGTGTTCTCAATTGTAGGAGAAAGGGAAGAGAAAAGCATCTTAAACTATACTATAAAAGAATGAACACATAGAAGTCTGCTTATAAAACATGCAGTATTATTTCAAGAAGGGATAAGTAGTGTAGTTCTTTAAATTAGTTTTCATGGAAATGATCTATGAATGTAGTCCACACAATGCAAACAAGGACAAGGAAAATCTATTCAAGAAGACAGTTTACAGTCTTGTAATTGGCCATAAGTAAGGCTAATGGATTTTTCAAGAATTTAAAAAGTTTTAAATTGAGCTCAAAACCCAAGATTTATTCTTTATTATTTTGAAAATTCAAAATGACGTTGTTTGCTTGGCTAAAAGGAAGGAGTTTACAAAGATCAGAAGAAAGCAAAATGGTTGAGGCTTTGAACAGCCTGATCTAGTGGAAGGTGTCCCTGCCCATGGCAGGGGGGTTGGAACTCGATGATCTTTAAGGTCCCTTCCAACCCAAACCATTCTATGATTCTGTGAAGATGCATCATTCAAAAAAATTCTTGGAAAACGCAGTCCCATAGTGTCTTCATCTTATAGTGATTCATGACCACCATATTTTTTGTAACTAAATACGTTCTTTCAAATTTCAGGCTTTGCAGTGATGTGGAGTTATTGGCAACACTGCCACTAGAGGAAGATGAACTTGTTAGATAAATACATGGAAGCAAATGTGAATTTGCATTCACTAGCGTTCTGTGCAAAAATAGCATTTTTTGTTTCTCAGTTACTGCTTTAAGAATCTCATCCAGTAAACTGTCTTAAAACTAAAATGTTATCTTTCTGCTCAGGTACTTAAAATATACTCTGGACCAGTATGTAGAGAACGATTACACAGTTGTCTACTTTCACTATGGCCTGAAGAGTATGAATAAACCATCTCTGAAATGGTTACAAACAGCCTACAAAGAATTTGACAGGAAGTATGTCTCCAAAATATTTAGTTTGCACTGTCAGTTGTGTAATATGTGTAAATAAGTTCCATGAAGGAAGCATATCTTTCCTGATCTGCCCACAGCTAACTGACTTAATTTTGCCATTGCAAATTTTTGTAATGATATCAGTGGTGTTGGTTCTCTTGTAAGTATCTTCTGTGCAGTACTAAGTAATGGCCTGGGTGCTGGAGTGGTTATCCAAAGGTATAAAAAAATAATTGGGAAGAAAACCAAGAGGCTTTGCCTTTTCTATGCACTATTTAGCAAGATACCTGTGACACCTTATGTGACATCCTTCTCAATTATCTCACAGTTGTGTTTGAACCTTTGATCATCCCAAGGCTAGGTCGTATACAAAAAAAGGAAAGATTAGTTCTTAACAGTACGTTTCTCACATGCCTTGCAGCATTCTTTGGTTGTTATATGTAAAGCCCCAGAGGGACTGCTGTGCCTGTATAAACCTGACCTTTGGAGTAACAATGGCTGCAGCTCATGACTTCATGTTTCAGTTGGGTAGGATGTAGCTGAGGCCAAAGCTCCTGGATAAATAGTGTGGAAACAAAAGTTTTGATGTTTATTCTCTGAAAGTGCACACTTACCAGCAAAGATAAAAGTTCCTATTGAAATCAATTTACTTGTTTGCAAATGTGTTACTTGTTTGTAAGTTGGCCTCAAGAGGGCAACATGACTAAAAGCAAAAATATACACAAATAGCTCTTTCCTGAGGGTGCGAGTGTATCACTGTGTATCACTCATTTGTGTATTTGTATGTATTGCTATTATTATAATAATTACTATTATTTTCAGTTTTGCTGTAGTTTAGTTATTAAATTGTTCTTATCTCAATGCATGAGTCTCTTTTCCCTTCACCCCTTTAATTCTATTCCCCATCCCCGGGAGCAGGGAGGGTGAGTGAGTGGTGTTCTGTAAAACTCCAACAAGCCTCTAACTGCTTTCATGAGATATTGCTCTTCACTTGGCAACAGACCAAAAAAGCTTATTTTTGCTAGTAGCTTTGTGAGTGTTGTTAGTGCAGTGTATCTGCTCTTTCTGTGACTGGGTAACGGAGAGGAAAGGCAAAGGATCTCTTATATTTTGTCTTTGGTGAGACATTTAGGCAACAATATTGGTTTTCGCTGTGCATTGACAATTCCTGAAAATAAAGTATCATACTATTTTCCTTCTGGGAGAATTCCAAGCTAAATTTACGCGTGCTGTATGGGGAGAGGGCAGTACGAGGACACTATATTCTTTGTTGCCTTTTGCCATGCCTACAAGTGCACAATGTGACTCTTCTTTATGCCAAAAATTTGTTCTCTCTATTCCCCCACCCTGACCCAGGAAACAGGAGAACCCAGGAGGAACAGAGAAGCCCAGGTAGCTGGGCAAAATCATACACCCATCATTTATTCACAGTTGTAACTTCTTAGCATACTGTCACCGAGAAGCTCAAAGCAGTATTCACAGCCCAAACATGTATGTTCAACTGTACTAACCAGAGAAAAAAAGCAAAAATAGCACCTTTCAGACTTCTTCTGTGTGTGTGTTTTGGGGTCAAAGGAAAGACTTTTGGGCATTTAATTGTAATCTAGGAAACAGTGAAGTACAATGAAGTACAATAAGCTTCCACAGAAACAACAGCTTATGCCTATTGCTTCAAGGTACAAAACAAACTTAAAATGAAAACTTCAGTGTTTTGCTCGTTAGTTTTTATTGTTGATTTTGGGTTCTTGTCCGCAGTGGTCCCAATTGCACAGGGATAGTTGTTTGCTTGTGTATGATAGTGGCTTTGTGGAAACAACGCCTTTTTTGTTCAAAGGTGCATGGGCCCAGTTGAAACCCCAGAGGAAAGACTGTTGTAGTTGCTGAGTTAGTCCTTTTTTCCCATCTTACCATAACCTGTTACAAGGTTTTTCTGAGGAGTTCAAGATCGGTTTTTTTCCACAACATTGTTTTCTAACAATGAATGGTGAACACTTGGGAGGGGTGCTCCCTGCTAGGAAACAAACTTGGCAAAGTAATAAGCAACAATTCGTATATAAAAGCAGAATATTTCATAATGCGTTTCTCATTTAATTTTGCAATAATGTTGAATAAGAGCAGAGTCTTTCTGTGTAGCCCAGTTTACATTTCAGTTTCAGCCTACTAGAATCGATTGTTTATGAATCATGAGATGACACTGTAGAATCAAGCAATGCTATAATGGAGGAAGTTTTTTGTTTCATGCAAAGGCAACTGACCATCCAATGTAAAACAGCATGCAGTTTGCTTCATCTTTAGTAATTACTAGCAAAATGAGACAAAAGTAATGGTAAAAATAAAAGACTAGGTGTAAATTTTATGTCTGAAAACTTGGACATTTTCTCCAACATGAAATTCCAGTAAGCAGAAAATAAAGGGAGATGAAGGGAAGTATTTTTTTATATCACAGAATTTTTAAAAGACTCTTCGTTCTCTTCTCAGTTGTTTTTTTTTTCAAGTTGTTTAATTTCCCTTCTGTCCCCCTGATATTAAATCAATGATGTAGCATTCATTGGTTAGGAATATAATAGTGTTATCTTGGCCTACTATTATATCATCAAAACTGACCATTTTTTTTTAAATTGGGGATTTTTTTTCATTTTGCATTCAGTTTCTTCTGAATTAGATATTTTTTAATGTATTTGAAAAGAATGCTGTATAGTGTGCCTGTAATAATACCTCCCATTCAGTTGTAGCTCTTCAGCTCTACCATCTATGATATTCAAATGTTTTCTAACAATTTCATTTTCTATTCCTAGGTATAAGAAAAACCTCAAAGCACTCTATGTTGTACATCCAACCAACTTCATAAAAATTCTGTGGAATATCTTTAAACCTCTTATAAGGTACTTGGCAGTTTATCCAACACATTTTCCTGTTCAGTTTAAGGATGGTTTGTTCTCTAATAAGTTGCTTTTTAAAAGGCTTGAGGTAAAATATGTCAGGTAACAGCACAATACCCATTTAAACTGTCTTCAACTAATGGATAAGGTGAGCTTAAGCTTGGGTATGAATAATAGGGTAGAGTTCTTTCTAAGAAAAGGGAGTCTCAATTCTTAGGAGTCTTACTGCTATGTTAAAGTAAATATCACTTTAAAACATAGTTATTCTGTGTACCGTGAATGACTTTTTTGTCCTGTTTGACAGCACTGAGCATAATAGAACTGGGTTCGTGGCTGGAGGTCACTGTTCTAGGTGGTATGGTAAAGCAGATAATAAATGGTTAACCTTTGGTCTGATCTTAGGTGCTGAGATGAATAGGAATGATGAATAGGAATGATTGTGTGTTCAAAGTTAATGGATAAACGCTGAAGTGCTCACAAGAATTTGAGATAGAGGGTATAATGGTGAAGGTGGATGTATTTTACTGGTGCATTCTTTTTCTTTGCATGGTAAAAAATTGATACTATCTGCAAGGAACCAGCAACAATGGGCAGATATTGCAAGTGCTGGCATGGTTGGGCTTTTTTAGTGTCTGCTCCTGAACTTCTGTCACTTTCGAAGGAATTATAACGTTTTGTAAATTATATTATGAATGTTGTTAGGGCTGATGGATGAAAACAGCTTATCTTGAGAAGCTATAATGAATCAACTAAAAATGTCCATTACTGTAACTTGCAGTTGATTCAATTCTGACTGGCAGAAAGCTAATTAATTAGAAAGGGGAAGTTTAACTTCTAGACAGATCAGAACATATAAGAAGCATGTGAAAATAAAAAAGTTATTACAGCTAAAAATCATTCCAGAATATGCTGTTCTTGAAACAAGACTGTCTATAGATCTTTATTTTAACTGGCAGTAAAAAAAATGCCAGTGATCCAGGACATAGACCAATGGTGAGAAAAGTGTGACAGAAGCAGGAGATACAGTAGCTGATTGTACCTCAGGAATGGGGATGGATTTTTTGTTCTTGCTGGTTTGCTGTAGGATTGGGTATGGAGGGGTTTCTAGAAGAAAAAACCTAAAACCAGAAAAACTCTTGATGGACATTACAACACTCAGGTGAAACCAATTCTTTCTCAGAGGCAGCTGAGAGCTCCTTGGGAATAGCTTCAGTGGAAGTTGGTTGAGAGGGGCAAGGGAGCTCAACAGATCAGATCTGTGGATGCCCTACAGCCCAGTTGTGTAGAGCATGTGGGCTTTGGTCTGTTGTACTATATGGCCCTGTTAGGCTGAAAAACCTCCACAACAGATCTCTTGACCCTAAGAGTTAAGCCAGGCATTGTGTGGTTAAGAGCAAGAAGCAGAGTGGGGAAAGATTCCCTTTTATAGCTATTTCCTGCGTCTACCCAGTGACCAAACCACAGAGTGGAAGCAGAACTGTCTCCAGGACTTGCCTTTCCCTGCATATATTTGTAACCCACCTTGCACTTCAAACTTTTGTCAGGAATAACGTGTCTTGAGTGTCAGTGCAGTCAGTGGAGCCACAGATGGACAACAGCTGTGCTGTTTGACTTAGAGTAATAACTGTCTGCTAATTTTTGCAAAATAAAAGTTTACAGGTCCCTGTTCCAAATACACATTTTGCTGGGATCTTACTATGTCTGGGTAAATAAGATGAATACTCTTTTTTTCTTGGAACAGTGTGACACATGGGCATTTAAATCCTCTTTTACTTTGGATGTGAAAATGGGTGATTCTGATAAGCTTAAGCTTTCATATCTAGCATAGAAAATTCAAACCAGGGTATGTCATCTTAGATGCATCATCATCTTGACCTTCTGAACACCTTGCTTTCATCAGGATTGGCTGTTCTTGTTTGTGCTCAAATTTACCAATGTGTACCTGGATACTTGGTTTGAGTTTGATTTAATAACACTGTACTCTGTGTTGTTAAAATATACTACCAACAGAAACATAGATATTTGTACACTGGCACTGACAAAATAAGTGAAAGTGTGAGTAAATTCTGAAAAGGTCCATAAGCCAGAAGGCAGGAATTAGTTGAAGGTAGGAAGAAAACCTTTTACTGCTTAAAATGGTTTAATTACTGAATGCTCAGATGCATTTGTGGTTTGGGTTGACTCAAGTTTGGGTTTGTCAAGTAAAGGAAAACATAAGGATATAATTTTAAAACTGAAGTGTGAAATTGCCCATGTACAATTTGCTTAAATTGTACTCTCATTGAATACTGAATCTTATTAACATTGTTAATTTACTAAAATAGTATGATTTAAAATTTGTTCACAGTACCTTTTCCTCCCAGTTTAGAATAATCTTATCTTAGCAAATCATGCGTTTATTTAAATGTCAATATTAAACCAAAGTTCCAAAAAGAAGGGAGAAAAATCCTCCGGATATTCTGTTTTCTAGCCTTGCTGAATTATAGCCCAGACTCATTTTTAGATAGTGTTTCCAATAAAAATTGCAGATGTAAAATAAATTTCACTGTCAAGAAACATGTATTTATTTTTTTTTAGAGGTCTGTTAGTACATTTGGTATCTGTTAGTACATGGCCTAAGTACTTCTGTATGAACAACGTTGTTCAATAAGAACTTGACATTAGAGTGAAGAACAAAAGTAATAAATATTTTAGCATACTTGCATTTGAACATATTTATGAAAATGCAAATACTTGAAATTTCTCAGGCTCCAGAAGTTGATTGATCTCCTTTCCAGTCCCAAAAGAAATGAGCAAGAAGGTAATGTGCTAAGTCAAATGTTTTTGACTTAAAAAGGAGTGATTAATTACAGAGAATTTTGTGCTAGTATGTAGCTGAGGTAAGATGCTGAAACCACAGGCTGTTTTGGATAAAAGACACACCAAAGAGCTCTGAAGTTGTACACTCACAGACTGATAACCATCAGTGTCCCAAAAGTGCTTGCCTGTTAGCAAAATGTAGCTCATTTCAATAAAAAGCTTCTAAAATGCTGAAATGACTTATATTTGTATCATCCCCCACTAGAGGGAGTGTGTGTATGTGTATTTGACAATCCAGAGATAAATTCATTAATGCAAGAGAATTTTTCTCCTATTTTACTGTCACAGTAAGTTGCAGCAAAGTACACTTTTTATCATAAACACCTATTATTTTGCTTGACACTTTGTTACAGGACAGATGCTTTGTGTTGTGGAAAAATACAAAATTATTTCAGACCATGCATATAAACATGTCACTGAATTTGTTTGAACACACCAGCGTGTAAGTAGAGTATTCTGGCTGAAACTCAAGACCTAACTAGTGATAGTGCTGCTTCAAATTTTGAAGTCTGTTTTGTACAACTCATAGAAAAACCTTATTTTTCAAGATGTTTCCTGGAAGCTATTCAGCCTTTTTTCAAAAACAGATAAAGCTGATGGCCCAGCAATTCAAGGGTATATACACTATCCAAGCTTTGAAAATCTCACCTGTTGCTTACTACCTGATAGTTTGTGTCTACAGCCCCATTATTTTGTCTTTTGGCAGGGAGGAATACCTAAATAACACAAACATGTTGTTCTTTTGGCTGTGTAACATTTTCTCCAAAGTTAACAATTATTTTAGTAAGCTTTCTAATGCTGTGTGAAAGCTGTTTTTCAGTGGCTTTTAAAGCAGTGTTTTTCATATCTATGTAAATCACAAAACATTCAGATGGAAGTCAGTTATTTTTATTCAAATCAGACTCTCAGGCATGCACTGTATATGTTTGATCATATGAAATGAAATACATCTTATGTCTCCTGCTGCTTCAATTACAGTCTAATTTTGAGTTGCATCAGCACTTACATTTTTGTAATAGAAACTAAACCCTTGGTAAATGTTCCTCCCATGCTGATTTTTTTACTTCTTTGTGATTTTTTTTTTTTTAAAGCCATAAGTTTGGGAAAAAAATCACCTACCTGAACTATTTAAGTGATCTGAGAGAGCATCTCAAATATGACCAGCTAAATATTCCTCAAGAAGTCATCCAGTACGTGGCAAGTTTAAAATATGTTGTTTCACCTTTTCTTGGATAGAGTTGTGTCCTGTTCATTGTATTCCAAGCAGAATCTAATCCTATTACTTCAATGATTAAAAGTCTAATTTAGTTATTGAATTTGGTTGAATTTGATTCTGAAAGCTGCGTTGCCATCAAAGACATGCTGAAGGGTGTCAGGTGTTTAGAGAAGAGAACACTATATAGTTTTTTACAGATTTGTAGCATCTCCATCTCAGTTGTGGAGCATTTCCATAGTATAATTGCAACTTCTGTGTAAGTGTTAACAAAACCAACCTATATGTCATTACTGCTTGTGAGTACCATGTAATGTTCATGGGCAAAAATGAAATCCTGACCTCTTCGCTCGCATATGATAACGGATTAAGGGACTTCCTTTTGCTAAGAGCATTCCCAGTCAGTAAAGTGTTGATTGATTTTTAACTTTATGGATATGTCTATTGTTAGCAGATCCATTACTTTTATATCATGTGTGTAGGTGTGTTAGTGAGGAGGATTGGAGAGGGGGTGGGAGAGGAAAACAAAAAGAAATGCATAGGGCTGGAATTGTCAAGTGCCAGTATTAGTATCAATAACAGTCTTTTTGACACAGCCCTGTACATGGAAATGCTTTGATGTACTGACAGGAAGTGATTTTATGTCACTGCTGAATGAAAGGAGCTGGAAGCTTTGATTATGACTGTTATTGATGCCTGGTGGGTTTTTACACACCTTTTGTGTAAATATGGAATAACAGAAAATATGTTACAGCTCTAAGGCTTTAAATTGGATTGCATGGTTGCCAAAGAAAGGGGAGTTGTATTTTGAGTAGCAAATAGGTTTGAATTTTGCTGTTAAATTATAGTGTGTTCCTATTTTTTGGACATGTTTATTACTGTACTCGACTGACTGAAGCAAAAGAGCTCTTCTATGTCTTGCTTAAGTATTCTACCACAAATATGACTTAAAATTTTCCCTAATGCTTAAATTAAATGCACGTTCTGTAAGAACTGCAGCATATACACTATTGTCAGGAGATCAGCGTCATAAGCAATACTCTAGCTGTTCATATATATAGTTTGTCAGCCATGGTGCCCAGAGAATCAATGATTTCTTGATTTTTGCAGACATGATGAAAATCTTCGGGGAAAACAGAAGGGAAAACTGCCACCTGTGGTTAAGGCTCCTCCACCACGGCCGCCTCTGCCTACCCAGCAATTTGGAGTCAGCCTGCAATAGTAAGCTATGAGATTTCTCAAATATGAGATTTCTACACCCTGCAGCCTTCTGTAATGTGCAGATTCACCAGACAGAATGGCCACAAATATTATATGTTTAGCTTCTCATTGTCTTTGAAAGTCATGAAACTACACGGCTAGACAGTAGGTTTTATGAATTCAGGACAGGTGTCTTGGTCCCTGTGACCTGTCTGTTCTTGATGTTTACAGTATATTTGTGGTAGTTAGTGCCAGCGCAGCTGCAGGACTCATCTCCCAGTGGACAGAAATTTGCCCATGTACGACAGAGCCCTGAGCTAATCTGTTGCTGGTGGGTGCTGGCAGTATGAAAGTGTTTTGAAGATATTTAGGTAGCGGATAGCAAAGCCAAAACAAAGCTTCACGCTCCAAAATAGATGCATAAAGCTAAAATTGATGCTTGAGCCTGTATATATTGTAGTTTTGTTGCTCACATGTTGTTCTGATTGGAGTTTTATGAAATGAATAAAATCACTCTCTTCCAGAAATGCCCTGACAGCTGTTTACGTAGATTACAGCACTGTATGTGGTATAAAAAATTGCTTACTTTACGCAAGGAATGGGATGGCAATACTATTTTCAAGATTCAATTTTGGTGAAAAACAACCAAAAAATCCACAAAACCTTCTAGGTTCCTACCCGCGGTCATTTCTGTCATCTTCCTGTGGCATCCTTCTCAAAAACAGCTGAAGAATATTTTTCACATTCAGCAAAAGCAATTTAGGCTCTTCTGGTTCTAATGATTCAATTGTAAATGAGATATAAAATATTATTTTCCCCTGGTTAAATGTTAAGCATTAGCCCTCTCTGGAAGACCTGAAATTAGAACAATCAATATCTATTGTGTAAGAGCTACTATGACTTTAACTTTTATGATACCTCTTTAGAGTTCACTCTAACATTTGAAACATGGCTAACTCCCTTCCCTAATTCAGATAATATCTTTTAGGTGGGCTCCACTGGGTCATTAAGAAGGACAATGTTTTATGCTGCTACGTCAGTGGTAAAACCAGGACCGTTTGCAGACATCAGGGCACACTCTGTCACTTGCCTCTAGCCCAGCCTGGCTGCTCAAGCAGCTCTGTCAAACTTCTCACGGGCTTATGCAATCAGACAGCACGTTGTGTGCCACTCTTACCATCTGCTAGTCATGCTTTATTTCTCTGACTGTGCCTGAATAGTAAAACAGTGTTTTTCGCTGGGCTGCATGTGGTGAGGGTGTGGTGGCCAGCCTTCCTGGCTCTGCTGCTTTCCAGATGCATTACCATCAGCAAACCACATCCTTGCTGCATGCCTTAGGTTTCCCAAGTATGAAAAGGGTGGCTACTTATAAAGGGCTTTTCTGTGGAAGATCTGTGGGTAGAGACACACGAAGTGAGGCATGACTGTAATTTCTGACCCAGAAGGTTCCAGCACTGGTGATGGAGGTGCTGACAGGCAGATGTTCTCCGTGTGTGGGTGCAGTTCACAGCTCTTGGGTGTTCGAAATGGATGTACACAGGATATTTGTTCCTTCTGCTTGCCCACCCTTGTCCAAATTCCCTCTTGCAGAAGAGATGGTGCTGCATCACCACCTAAAAATCACAAATAAACAAATTCCCTATGACTTTTAAAAAAGAAATAAAGGAGTTAATTTAGACTGTGAAAAAAGGTAAAGTTAACAGAGGAGAGGGAATGATGTGTGGACAGCTTCTAAAACCTGAACAAAAAAAATTATCAACTTTCATATTGATTAATTGCTTTTGCTAATTCCCTCTGCATTTATGATCTCTATAGACTGTAATGGCAAAATGGCAGTGACCTCCCATCTGTCTAGCAAAGATGGAGGTTTGAAGTCTTGTCCTGGGTAAGGATCTTCTGTTTTTTTCTGAAGAGAGCTACAGGGAAACCCTGATTTTATTTTGTATAGGTTTATGGGATTATGTGTGCTGTGTATTTCATTACAGTTAATAACAATTGTACTGTCAGAGATGTTGCTGAGAGAAAGCTACTGTCATTAAAGGACTGTTTCTCTGTGGAGTTTTTTTCTTTAGTTTGAGAAAAGAAACTATAAGGCCCATAGGCCTGAGGTTTCATTGGATTCAGTACCTCTGGGATGATGATTTTTATTCATTCAGTAAAAGGTTGGTGAATGGGATTTATCCAAAGCCATCAGAGTTGGCCTAATTTTGATAAGAAATTTGATAATGTATCCCAGTGACTTGTGGCTGTGGAAGGTGGTAAAGCCATACCCTTTTGAATGTGCCTCCCTAAAAGCATCGGGCAGTGCTGTCTCTGGTAACATTTCCTCATTTAACTTTTTTCACAGCTATAATTAAAAAAATAGAAGGGCAAAAAGTGGCTAAATGTTGGTTCAAAATATCTCACTTTTATCCAACAGGCAGGGGGGAAAAAAACCTGTTTTGTTAGGACAGCAAAACGAAGCTGAAGTTTCAATCTAGACACTGACAAATGTCTGGGACCAATGCCTCATCTCGGAGGAATCTGTTAACTCACAAAGACATTTTTAACCTTGTAGAGTTGGATTTTCAAAATTACATAAGGCACTGGGCATTTTAAAATCATGGAAGGTCTGTGAGAGCTGGGAGTATAATTCTTTGAAATGTAATTTATACTGAACTTGGTTTAATTTATGAGTGAACTGAAAGGCTTATTATGAGGTTTGTTCAAAACTTTTCTTTCTTTAGTTACCCCCATCCACTCAGGATCCCAAATCTGGATTTAAAATGGCTGTGTTTGATCTCTTTGACCCTTCTGCGTCACCCTAAAACCTTTGTGGGGTGGAAAAAACAAACACACACCAAGCTGACTTCATCTAAAGTGTCTATCCAGCTTTATTTACATTTACTTGTTTGGGATTTAAGCGTGTAGTTTATGTTAGGCACAGATATGAAATCGAAAACCTTCTGCATTGTGAGCTCATGTGAGGACTCAATAATTTGGTCTTTGCAGCTGGAACTTGAATCTAGTACCAAGTTGTCCTGAAGTTTTCACTGAAACTATGCTAATTCAAACAATAATAAGTTAGCTTAGTAAAGGCAGTTAAGTTATCCAAAGTTGGCTTATAATATGTCTTTAGAATAAAGTATAGGGACCAAAAAAGATTGTCTGTCTCCCAATTTAATTATTTGTGCCTACATGTACAGAGCAGATTTGCCCAGTTTACTGATGACAGTCTGTCCATAGCATTTCTGATCTCCAGCCTGGGTTGTTTGGTTGCCAATTGCAGCTTTAAAGGTTTGAACTCATGTTAAAAAACTATGTGCTTTTCTTGAAAACATGAAATAACACAACTGAAACTAATGTTCATCTTCGTGGGGATATTAGAACAGTCTTCCTGAGGAAGTTTTGTCCGCACTAATTTTTCACTTACAATTTAGTGGGAATCAATGCTCAGATTTGACAGGTGCTTAAGAATGTGTGCACAGAATGGGTGGGATAGCTTGCTTGTTTAGTGTTTATTGTGTCCTTCTCTAACTTGATAACTCAAGCTTCTTATGTGCAGAGAGAGTGAGGAGAATACCAACTGTAATGAGCTAGTTTAAAGGTTTATCAAGCCTCACATCACATCTCCAATAGAGGGCAATACCAGATGTCAGCAGGGAGCAGTGTTACAACAGGGCAGGTGTACAGCTGTACTTCCTCACGGATGATGTCCCAGCTTGTAGTGATCAGAGACTGGCAGAGGAGAGTACTACAATACTATGGAAATTACTTTCTGTTACTCAGCAGTAGCTATTGCTTTTATAAATCCAGACATTTCAAAGAATGTTCATGTGTTGTGTTGGTATAGCAAGACTATTTGTTCATTCAGCAATGCTACCTTCACCCATAAAATTTAGAGCAGCAGTAATTAACTATTCAGAATACATCCTCGCTAGTTTGCACTGCATGTCAAGGTGAAAAGTAGGATTTTTATTCTAAAAGCCATTAGTAAAGATTTTATGTTTAAAAAGGCAAGGAAAAATTTGGGGAACCCTCTGCTTATGTTGATCAGATAAATACAGTTAAAATGCAGTAATGAAGCTTCCTAAATTAGCAACACTTTAAAGGAATTGATAATTGACTATACGGGCCGAGTGGCATCACTACTCTGTTGTTTGTTCAGCAAGGTCCTATAAACCCCTGTTGCTGCACCCAACTGCCTCTGTAATCAAGCAAGGCTACAGCTGAGCTCCATCACAGAGCACAGGGTTGACCTTGACTAGCTATTGACATTGTTCTGTTTTCTCAGATTGGTTTTAAAATCTAAAATTAAATAACTTTTGCCGGAAGACAGGAAATGTTTTGGTTTTCTATCTGTTGTGATGGATGGGGAGAGGGGGCAGAGAAAATGCACAAAATTGTCACATCTGTATAGATTTTGCTTGTTGAATTGTTATCATAAACATTTCAGGGTGCTTTCCTTTTGGTCATAATCTTTCTGCTTGTGCATGCTGTGCATGCGTGACCGAGGAGGAACAATGCATTCTAAACCAAATCTCAGCATGTCTCAGCAGGGAAAAAATGAAAAGGAGAAGAAAAACAGAGAGAGAAAGAATATCAGCCAAGAATACTTAATGACACTATAGAACAATGTGTAAAGGCCTTTCATGATAACTGTCCACTTTCTAGAAATGAGTCGTTGGGTATATAACATGTTGCAGTAACTAATCCTATATCCTATAGCGAGGAGTACTCGTTCTCTCTCGCTACTGTGTTTACCAGAAGAGATCCCTCTTGAATCTGACATGTTGCTGCTATACAATTCAGATCTGTGAATCAGTTACAGAAAACTATACTGTTCACTGAAATGCTCTGTTATGCTCATCTCTTAAACAGAAAGCACAAGAGATCTCTCATTCACATTGCCTGTTGTAGTGCCTGATCTCCAATGTCATTTTGTATTGTCCATCATAAAGCACAGCTGCTCATCACACCATCCTGAACATGGCAAGAAAAATGCAGATTACTTGACAGGATCCACAAAGAGAGGATAGAGGTGTAATTTCATTGACCTCTGAGCCAATCTGATTTACATTAGCTGAGGTAATGTCCCTATTATTTTCTGTCACCTTAGGTCCAGTAAACTGAACACTATCTCCCCCGTTGTGAAATGTTATGAAAATATGCATCCCCGCTTTCCCAGTGTTACAAAAACAGAACAATGCTTTGCATGTGACTTTCAGTGAATCTACTCTATTTTAAAATACCATTTATCATTAGGATCTCTTTCATTGTGCTGGGAATGGAACCTTTCCTTCAAGGGAAACGGGAGTCCTGTAGGTAGATGTGCAGAAACTGTAGATTTTTCCCTAGAAAATGAAAAATGATGTGTAGGTTTTATTATTATAAATTATAGCCCAGTTATTTGTCTCACCTCTCTGACAGATAAACTAGTGCTCAGCAGGAGCAAGTGCTGTAAATAATCAGTTTGCTATTTATACACTGCAATGGGAAACACATTTATGGGTAACAATAATAATTAGAAAACATTTATAAAAAGCTGATACGTTGCTATTTGGTGCCTCTGGAGTGAGCAGCTGTAAGAAAACAAAAACAATCAGTGCAGCTTCAGAGAGACTGAAAATGGGTTCCGTGAGCTTAAGTTGTCGATAATAAAGATGTAACAGCTTCCAAACAAATTAAAGTCTTGATGATGTTCCCATTTAAGTGAATTAGGCTTTTAACTAATTTTAATAAAAGTTGCCCTAAATGTTTAGGGTCCTAATCTAAATACACAAAACAAAATTATTTGACACACAAGGAGTGTGTTGTAACTCCCCTGTTAGAAAGACTAAAATAAATGTGTTTGTTTTCCCTTGCTTTGATTTGCTGCAGGCTTTCCCTTGCTGGTATCCCGAATATTGACCTTGGTACTGACCTCATCTCCCACCCCCTTTCCTTGTTTAGTCCCTTACCGGGGGATATCATTTCACTCGGGATTTAAACTTTGCATGCTGTGCAAAGAACCCCTAAAACTTCCTTCCTCATGTGGTTTATTAGCAAGGCTAATTTATTAATGGGGCTGCACAGTCACTGCCTGTTTTGTTCTATGATGTTGCAGCAGGGTTGTTATACAACACTGATCTGCTGCGAGAGAAAATAACTCACATAGAGAAGCTGCCTTTCAGAGCAGTATAGGGGATTCACATGTTCTGTGACTGCATGGCTCTGTTCCCTTTGCTGTGGCCAACTTTTGCAACTTTTACAGGGGCTAGTATGAGAGCTTATGGTACTGAAGCAAAGTTACTTTTCAATTTTTCCTCTCCAGGGTCTAGGTAGAAGAGAGGGGGAAGGGGAGAACAACCTGGGTCTCAGAGCTGGTCTGAGAGCCCTACACAACTCCTGCACATCTGTAACACTACCACTGACCTTCTGCTCTACAGTGTCACCAGCATGTGTGAAACCACTGTAAGATGGTTGAACCTGGAAGGAGCAGGAGAGACTAGGAGTGATGGGGCTGAGAGGATTTTGCTGCTAGGAGAGATATTTTACGGAGGTACCTGATTGTCACTGTGGGTAAGGAGAGGATGCTGCTGAGGACTAGGTCATAAGCTTGGTCCCTGTAGCATTTCAAGCCACAGCCTTTTTGAGTCAGTGAGTTGTTTTTTTTTTTCATGAAGCACTTATGGCCTCTGGTTTAGCTCTTGTAAGACATCAGTGACATGGGGAAGATTGAGGTTGGACTTAGTCTTACAAGTCAGGTCATAAATCTTTCTTCGGGCCATTATCATGTTGTTATGGTACTGCAGAGAGTGATTACTCCAGCAAGTCCAGTACTGTTTCATATTGAAATTAATGGTACCTTGCCGGTGGGTAAGGACAAGAAGTTGTATCATTTCATCTAAAGATCATACTTGCAAGCGCCAGCAAATAATGAAAATTACTAATGTATAAAAAATTATACTTTAGAATTATCTGAATTAAACTCATTCCTTGCTTTTAGTCTTTCTTTCTGGGAGTGCACTGCATACATTGTAGAATTTATTTGGTCAGATGTATAAAATTATAATGTTATGAACGTGGTTCTGTGAAACTTGGCTATATTTTTTATCAAAGTTCTTATGTCTGTTTACATCAAGGAAAATTCCCGTTTCCTAAACAGCTCCTGTTAGATACAGATTCAGCAGTGTCCACAAAGTGATATCAACCGACACATAGAGAGAGCAGTATTGAATTTTATATGCTTTAGATTCTGGTATGGATACCTTGTTGAAAAAGAGCAGGAAAAATTTGTTCTATGGATTGATTTTTAGTTAGGCTCACAAAAGAGCTATGGGCTTATGCCAAATTTGACAGAGGAATGGAGGTCTCACAAATACTAGAAGCTTTTAAAAACCATTGGCTGGAGGGAGAGAAACTATAGCAGGAATTCAGTTTTCTGTTGCCTTTGGTCTGCTGGTGAACCAGTAAGTGTGTAGGTGGTGATTAATTATGAGCTACTCCTTACCTTATGAGGAAATACAAGGTAAAGAGGCAAGGAAATGAAAATCCTATGTAAGGGAAGTGAGGTGATAGAAGACGTAAGGAAATGATCTTAAATTACTGTGATGAGGAAACAGGTAGGACATGGGATACAAATACATAGCACATCAACTTAATTAGTTCTGCAGCTGAAGGAACAATTTATTTCCTTTCAAACAACAGGGTGGTCTAGGTATCTGGAGTAGTACAAGGAGCTCTGGGATCATCATTAACAAGTTAGTTGCAATCATGTCACAAGTTGTATTGTTTTATATAACACTAGGGGAAGTGACGTGAAACATGAAAGAGGAAAAATACAAAGACTAAGACTGGGTGGACAACAAAACTGTAACTGGAAGAAATGGCACTGGTGGGTCAGCATTGTGTCCCTGCAGTGATGAATGGGATCAAAATGTTTGATGGCTGAATGACGAAATAGCATGAAGTATATTCCCCTGTCAGTTTATGAGTCAGCAAGGCAAAACCACAGGGTGATTCAGTGCCTTAAGTCAGGATCCTGCTCTGAGTCTTCCCGTTGGAGGAACACTCCCACCACCCCCATATGTGGAGCTGGGGGTAACTAATCTCCTTAAGCTGGGAGGTCCAAAATTAACTAGTCCACATATTGTCTTCTAACTCCCTTCACAGGCGTAGGGAAAACAAATATGAGGAACAGGGAAGGATTTGACCATTTCTCTACCCCTCCATGATTTTAAAGTAGTTTTTATATGTAGTTTAAACACAAAATACAATACTGGATTGCTCATTCCATGCAACAATGTTACAGAAGTTGTATCAAATACGTTCCAGTTATTGTCAGTTGTTTTATATTAATAAAGTAATAAGCAAGCCTAAACAGAATGTGAAGAAATCACAGTACTTAAAAAAGAAAACAGCTCTAAGAATCATTCTCCTCTGCAGGCGCAACCTCAGCTAGCAGCACTAGGCAAAGGCTATGTTACATGTTGTATAAGCATCTTGCATTTTCTGTGGATGAGCTGCAGCATCCGCAGCCTCTCATGATACAGTCACAGGTCTGTGTGCTGTTTTGTACTGGTACTGTAGAGTTTGTCAGTAAAGCTGGTCACATTTCAAATATCAAATATGAAATTGTTCACAAATATATATTCAGTTTACTTTAAAATCTGAGATTGGGCCTTTATTTTGTTGTCAGTTACTATAAAAAAATGCAGCAGAATATTCAGCAAATACTGACCATCTCTCTTGTTATAATTTTAAACTTTTTTTTTTAAATAAGGAAGATAATTGCAGAATTTTCTGTGCTGTCTATATCAAGAAAATGCTATGTTCCATTTTTTGCCTCAACTGTTCACTCATGAAAGAGAAAGAAATCTCATTTCATGGGAATCATTCAAAGCATTAATAATCTCACTGCATCACTTTGCCTTCATAATAAATAGTACAATATTCTTTTAATTATACATACACTGTGGCTTAAAAAGAGACAAATGACAAAGTAAAATCTGCATGATAAAAGGCTCCTAAATTTGCAGCATCGCTTGATCAAGACTTATTATGAAGCATTCACTGCAAACTCCTTTCTCACCTGCCTCTAAGCTGTATTGAAGCCCCATTACTCCAATGGCATCTGACCAAATCCAGTTCAGAGCCACCACCACTGCCATCACTGTGTCATGGTTAAATGCAGCCCTGCTGGGGCATGCCAAATGGGGGGAACAACACTAGAGCAAAAACAATCTCAAGTAGGGAAAAAGTTAGCCTGGAACATCATTCTGTTGCTCTGTCTTTGACTCGCTTTCTGTACAGTAAGTAACATTTATTTATTACTCGGTGCTGTTGCAGTTATACAGCTTTTCTAGCAAGAAGAAAGTGTTTAGGAATGACTCTTTGAATAGAAGTTTGTGTCTCTTGTTTCAATGACTTAATCAGTGCCTGTTGGAGTTGTGGAGGACTCTTGCTTTTGGTGCAGGCTCCTTGATTTGTGGAATTTAATGTATACTCTTGGATATGTCTCAGGTTTTTGCTGAGAGCGTTCTGTCATGGTTTTGACACTTTGTCTATAAATGCCATTCATTTTTTTTTTTTTTTCCTAACAGTATCAAGGACAAAAATAAAGGCGAACTAATCCCCCCAGTAATGAAGGAAACTGTATCCTACCTAAAAAGAAAAGGTGAGTCTTGTGTCAAAAGAGGATGTGTCTTTCAGAACAAGGACAATATTATGGAACTATACAACACATGGTGCCTGATTCAGCAAAGTTTACAGCTGCACAGGATACATTTATATCCTGAAAACTTGAGTGGCAATTGGGCACTGCTTTGAGAGCTTTGATGGATAGGGAATACTTATTATCAGACTATTATCCCACTATGAAAAAAACCCAAAACCTTTTTGCCCTTGGGATTAGAATTGGGAATAGCAAATGAAAGAAGATGTCCTGAAACACACTTCATCAACCCGTGGTGTTGGTGTTAAGTAGAACTCCCAGTAAAAATCAATGAGAAGTTGTTTTTATAGAACCAGTGGCCATAAGAACTCATTGAAAAAATGTGTTTTGCAGGAGTAAGCCTGAAGTCTTCCCTTCACAAAATATTTTTACTGACATTTACAGACCCTTTGACTGCAATTCATATCTATAGTTACATTATATAGAGATACAGATTACAAAAACCCATATTTAAAATGGGAGCATCCAAATCTGAGTTCCCTATATTGCCTTCACGTACAGAGCAAAGAGAGGGTAGACTTTGAACCAGTGGCTGTACCACTGAGCTCCGCAGAGCATGCCTGACCACCATAAAGGACCAGATATCAGGTGCTATCTGTAGGGTAAGTGCACTGTATTCCCTACATAGGGACAAAGGTGCATGCAGGGAGAAAGTCAGAGATAAGGCTGCAGTCTTTAAATTCCTTTTCAATGGAACTGAAATGTGATTTTATGTTTTCATCCCTGATTTTTAAGGCAATCACAGCAACATTTTCATAGCCCTTTGTGTTCTAAGGCCTCAGACATTCACAAATGTTTGCTAAGTCTTACGGTACTAAATCTGTAGCCTAGGTACATTTATCTTACAGGTGACAGAACAGAAACAGAGCATAACACGACTATGTGACTGGCACAGAATTACACAGTAGTAGAACTGGGAATGATTCCTAAGGTCCCTGAAAGAAGGGTGTGAATTTTTAATAGATGTGTCAAGTGAAGAAAATCAAAATGTGTTTGGTTCAGTTATTTTAAAAAATTTTAAAAAGGAAACATCACTGGAGTTTAATATGCCATTAAGTTTGGTTAATGTTTGAACAAATTTGGAGGATCAGCATGATTTTTATTAAGACAAAAACCAGACTTGGATGTCTATATTGCTGTTAAATTAGTTTTATCTGAGATTTTCCTCATTTAGAGAGCTATTAATATTGACAGCACACAAATAATAAAAGATGTAAATTTTGAGTAAATTATGTTCTTCTGTAGACAGGTGCACCCAAACCCACAATATTCCCAATTCTTAATTTCCATTCCTGAGCCGTCATTGTGAACAAGGTAAACTTTGCTTTCAGTATTCAACATTGATCTGTGTTAATTTTAACTGTTGCCACTAGGATTTAGTCTGACTTTGAGTTTATTTGAACCCTAAGTGAGAAATTTCAAACTTTTAAAAAACTTTTACTGAATAGGCTTCACGTTTATGAACACAAGGGTGGGGGAAGGAACAGGAAAAACATTGCTTCTCAGCTTCGTTGTTGATTCTCGAGAGAAATCCTGGGTTCATTTAGATCAGTGCAAGATCACACTGATTTAAGTGAGGACAGACTAGACAGTTATGGTCTTGCCTTTGTTGCTAGGCTATGTTCCTTTGTATTTTAGCTTACCCCGTGGTAAATAAGAATGTTAAATAACTGTCCGTGGTTTTTTTTTTTTTCTTTGGGTTTCATACCTTGAGTGAAGCTGATTAATGATATGCATAGATCCACTGCAGTGGATAATACATGCTTAGAGTTTGCAAGCAGTGGAGCATAGCATCTATAGGGATGCTTGGGTACAGAACAGCTAGCTCCTCTCCCCTTGAAATTGCTGATGTATCTTCAAAATACTTGCAGCAGCCAAGGCCAAGTACTGGAGTGAGGCTAGTTCTGCTATTAAAGGTATCTACTGATCTGCAGTAGACAAAGGGTTCTTAACAGACTTTATTGAAGGCCTCGTGGTCCGAAGTTAGGATTTCCACTCAAGCCCATATAGCTGTTTGGATGTGCTGTTTCCAGACTGGTGCTAATGATGAAAACTTTGCAGGTATAGCTTGTAGCAAATATCATGGTTGGATATAGGGAATGTAAACAGTTCACTACTAAGAACGCTGAAGACAAGTGACTGGCAGCTTGAGACAATCCCTGTAATTATAATTGTAAGTGGATAATTATAGCTTGTGTAGTGTATCAGTGCGTGCCCCATCTGCAGATGAAAGCCAGACTTTTTCATGTTTTAAATTGTTATGAAACAATCATCCTTACATATATTTAGCTTATCTTAATGGGCAAATACCTCCTCCTCACTAATCACAGGAGTCAAGAGAGCTAAAATGAATGTGCACTAACATCATTACTTCTCACAGCTGTTATTATTTAGAAATTGAGTGAAAATTTAGTCACTAAAATGTTAATTGATTTAGACTTCTGGCTGTGCTTGGGAGGAGGGCTTTGCATATCTGGCACTTCCTTGAACCTGTTTAAAGATTTTAAAGAAATAAGAGGTTTATGGCCATCATTAGATTTTAGCGGTTACCAGTAACTAGTAATTTTTGCACTGATCTGGCACAAAATCTCCTCCATGTCTTTGCTTTTGTTCTGGGTTTGTCTCATCACTATTGCACCAGTCCTATACTGTTCTCTCTCACCAGTTGCTGAGTCCGGCTCACATACCCACATTTTTCTGAAGCAGCAAAGCCAACTGCACAGTTCAGGGGGGGAAAAAAAGCAAGTTTTAGCTCTTACGTTTGTGATAAAAGAAAGGGTTGGTTCAACCTTGTCATTGCAGAATTTCTCCTAGCTGAAATGTTTGTTATTCTGACAGCAATAATCATCCTTGGGTTTCCTCCAAACTCCATCTTTTTTTGCTTAAAAATTCATCTCTTCAGTGCAGTATCACAGTTTGTGAAGGATAGACTGAGGAAATGTGATGATACTTCTGAACAAAGCCCTTGTCCTACTTTATGTCAAAAGTCAGTAGCATGGTAATGTTGGCCACTAATACAGAGTCCAGCCCACGCACTTGCTAGCTGGACTGTCTCATTTTTTCCCATTCAGTCCTTCTGTGCCCCTAGGAAGGAAGGGCATGGGCTCTGTCAGCATTGATATTTTCCAGCCAAGCCCAGGTTTGCTCAAGGCTGTCATATTCCTGATCATAAGGAGATCTCAACAAACCAGATTTCTTAGGAGAGATGGCTTGTCAGGTAGAGTGCTTTCTGACATTCTCAGCCAGCTGATGCTTGAAAGCCAAGTACCTGCCATGCCAAGGCTGTTAAGCAGTAGGTGATAGACGTGCATTTTTTTGCACTTGGTTATAAGTGTGCAGGTATCTGTTGTACCTGCTGTCTGCTATCATTGTAACTCTTTCTCTAAATCTAGAATATCTCAATTCTGCCATCAGCTCCAGCGAGTGTCGGTTCCTGTGCTGACAGCCCCGGGAGGCTGACTGGCAGCATTCTTTGCACTCCAGACGCAGCCGTGAGCACAGTGAAAGCTTCAGTTCATCTTCCGGAAGTGACAAAAATTCCCTGTCACTACCTTATTCCGTTTGATTTGGGCAATTTCCAGTTTCACAGAATTAGCAGGAAATTTGTTTTCCACCCTAGATAGATTGTTACATTTTCACATCTGTGTACCTGAAATCAGTTTCTGAAACTCTGACTTAGATCACAAAAGCTTCTACAAAATCAGGCTCAAGATTTATTGAAACATCAGAGGCCTTCTGACATCCATTAAGTCCATTCTGTACTGCTCAGACTCTTATTTCTTAAACAGATCTGATGCAGGAGCCGTGGTGGTATTCAAACTAGGCACCAGTCTGCAGTGTTATGCTTCTGGGCTAAGGAAACTTTCAGTCTCTGAAGTTCACCCAGCCTTTTTCATCGAAATTACTCTGATCTCTTTGACAGATTGCTTCATGTCACATTTTTCCTCTTTGATGTTTAAATTTTCTTCCTCAGTTTCAGACAACACTGTTGGCAGAATTGCTCTTCCCAGTGCGGAGGCATCCTCATCTGTACAAACGAGCCAAAACTCCCCTTCTTGTACTGAGTTACTGAGTGGGCTCTGACAGCAGCGAGCACGTCCTCATCACCAACAGTCAAATTAACATTATGACAGGGAGTGCCGTTATGACAGTTTCTTCCTCGTATATTTATCTGACTGCATATTTAGATAACTCTTTCTGAGCAAGATGACTCTCACTGGATCCAGTTACTAAGGCACCCAGTACCTTAACAGAGACTAAAGAATGTACTGTAAGCAGAGATTCCTCTACATCTGTTTGTTTTATATAAACAAGATCTATGACGGCTGATGCCTCAGACACTATTACAGTGAACACGATAAACTAAGTTTCTTAATTTCTATAACAATTTTCAGGTAATTTTTTCAACAAAGGAAGAGAAAGTAGCCATTTCACCACTTTTATTCTAGCTCCACTGAAATGGAAAATGCTTTTAAAGTTTTTAATACTGAATTTTAAAAATGCTTCTTTTCAGTTCCTGATAACCTTCACAGGGAAGAATTGGTTTCCTAAAATGAGTTCTGAGTATCTGAGAAAATCATCAGCAACATTAAGACTAAGCCTCAGAGTTCATCTTCTGGACCAAACCAGAGAAGTGCTCTTAGTTTCAGAAGTAAGGTGTTGGTGTCATCCTGAAACCGACTGATGATTTAGTCAGGCCAAAGAGGAAGGATAGGTTTAACATAGCACATTTGTGGCTAGATCTTCATAGTGACCAGCAAACCAGAGGAGTTTTTTTCTGTGCTCAGCCTCAAAACCACAACCTGTTCATCCGTCTAGTTTATAAATGCAATGACTTGCACTTGCACTAAATGATATGTTTATTGTGTAGTACCTTATCTCTACCATGCCTTGAGAAATTACCTTGGTTAATTAAATATTCACTCTTTTGTCAGAAAAATTCA